TCTTAAAAATGAATTTATTTTAAATAGAGATAGTAAAGTGGGTTCATGAAATAAAACCACAGAAGCAGAAAGCTACCTGCCTCTCTTACAACGCTTCATCTACTAGTCTTCATCCAGTTTACTGCCTGATGCTGTGCTACGTTATCATTAAAGTATTTCCCTCCTTTCAGTCCTCCCTTTACTTTTTTTTCCTCCTTCTTGGTTCTGCAGTACTGACACTACCTTCTGAATTTGTTCCTCCTCACTGGACAAGCAGTATCCATGAGACAAACGCTCTTCTTTTTTTCTTTTTTTTTTTTTTTAAAGACAGTTTTCTTGGAATTTCCTCTTCTTAAGCCCTCTCAGAAATCCACCAGCACATATAAGAAGTAGAATAAAAGAAAGATGCTGTCAGTGGTGATGCACACTGGGATCCACCAGCAAAGAACTAGATATAAAAGCATTCAGTTGTGGAGATTATGTGTGCCACAGCTAAAATAATGTCCTTTAATGCATAAAAATAAATTACTTTTAAATGTGCTTCCATGCCAGAAGCAGCCACCTGGCATGCAGGTCAGTACTTTGAAATGCTGTGTCAAGGAATGGAGGCTGACTAAATATGTCAGCCACCATTCCGCTGCCCATATTACAACTCAGTAGGCTTTGAAGAAAGCATGCTGGAGATGTCATTTTCCTCTTTTATAAGCATCCACTTCAAGATGCTTCACTCCAGGCTAGCAAGGGATACCCTACATCACTGTAGTACTACTTACAGAATTTATGACATAGGATAATGCTTACAACTTCATACATTGCAAGCATTTGTGCAGAATACAGTCCTGTGTGTGCATATTCACCATAACATATACTCCTAAGAATGCTTAATTAGCACTATTACACAGAAAAATCTTCATGCATTATACCTCGTATTTCTCATGCCTACTTTTAAAACAGAAAAGTAGTATTTTTTTACATGTGGAAAGGGGCTCTAAATTTTTGCTTTTCCAAGAGTGTACAGGAGTAAAGAGCACAGTGCTTTGTAGGAGGAAAGCACCTGTTTAAAATATTTCATATTCCTCCTTGCACTGCAATAATTTAATAGCTGCCTTGATTAAAAACAAACAAACAAAGCCAACTAAAAGAACCTATACTGTTTTTAAAGACTAAGTTTAGTGTGCATATATTCCAGACAGAAACAATGTCATAGAAAAGTGTGAATCAATGTCTGTCTCCCAAAGTCTCTGAATGAAGATCACCCACCTTTCTGGAAGTCATGCTGTGATTAAAGTAACCTCAGCAGAAGGGCAGCCATTCCATGGCATATTTTCCACTAGAGGTCAGGCTGAAGGAGCTAATGATCCATCTTAGCCTTCAAAACCTATGAGTGGGAGTTACTAATCAAGATTTGGAAGTCTGAAAATCAGTATTTAATTAGTCCTGCTTTGCTTCACTTCAGGTGAATCACGCAGATGTATTTTTCTAAGTGTCCAACAGCTGGAGTTATTTAATCATGAGAGTGTCTAAACGTATGTCAATACAACCTTTTACAGAGCACTTGATGGGCCATCTCAGTCAGCAGGACAAGGTTTGGAAAAGAGAAAAGTTCTTCCTAAACTTCAGCCTTGAAATGAAAAACATGTTAGTTTGAATAATAACAGACAGCATTCTAGTCACTTTTAAAAGGGTATTTTTAAAGTTTTGAATTTTATTTTTTTCCTTTAGAAAGGACACACATTATAAGCAACTTCCACCAAAAAATCTAGATTGAATTTGTTTCTGTAAATAACTAGGAAGAGATACAGCTAAGCATGGAGTATATGACCATAACAGGCCTCAGGTGACTAGAAAATTTTTCAAAACCCCTAAGTGATTTGAATTAGGAGCCTAAGCTTTTCTTTTCCTGTATTTTGGTGACTTACACAATTCCATCACTTTCACAAACATTGACCCAACTTCTTGAAATAAATACCTTGAAGGTAGTGAAGTTCAGATATACACTTGCTTCTGAAAATTCAAAGACACATTTAATGTATCATTTATAGTTTTAAACACTTGCTTGTGACAGGACACAAAGTCATGCTCAAATGGCAAATCCTAGCTCAGAGCTCTTTGCCAGTCACCAGCCCTCTCAACAACTCACTGCCTTCAGTGCATCTGTCTCCTGCCATGAAAACCAGGACAAAGTAACTCTGGCCAAAGCCACATAAGCATTTACACATAAAGTCAAAAAGTAAATTGAGGAATTGCTTACATGTTTACACTTCTGAAAACGAAGCAGCACATGAAATTCACTCAGAGATTAAATCAGCTAACTAGGTCAAGCTATGTCAGCTAGCAGTTTAAAGTACCTCACAGTCAACTAGTAGAGCCACTTCAAAGATAAACAAAGTACTTTGGCAAAGTAAGAATATAAAATGCAGGAACAACTGGCAGAGAGATGAAAACTTGTAGTTTCTCCAATCGCCTAAGATTAGTGGTGGGAATAACAGGCTTCAGGAATAGAAATGAAGCCTAGAAGACGTTGGTTTGACCTCTTATATGTCTCCCATGGACTAGCCTTTTCTGTAGTTTCACCAGGTCAAAAGCAGCCTAACTGCTGGTAACAGCCAGTCATTTCATCAGTTACAGATTATTTTGTTTAAAGATTTTGTAACAGAAACTGATAATAGCAGTTCAAAATCCACACATGCATTTTTTAAAAGGTGAAAATTGAGTTTATCTCAGTCATACATTCAATACACTCTTTTTCCTTTACCGGTTCTGAAAATTAGCTAACCTTTTAACATTTACAGTGGTACAACAGGTACAGTATAGCTCTCTAAGGCATGGCCTGGAGAAATGCAAGAGCTGTTTGATAAGGACCACTCCAACACACTTCAATGGAGCTGGCAGTCGGAGTTTGACTGATGCTGGTAAGGCAGATTTCCCAGATTGAGCACGTAGCCCACCCAGATGCACAGATGGTATTTGTGGGAGCAAAGGAAAATAAAATATAGGTTTAAAATAAATGCAAGAGAAACACAGAATAATATTGAATCACTCTAGTAAGGGTTTCCATTTACCTTTTCTATTTCTCAGCACATCATGAGTGTATGTTCAGGGCTTTGAAACCACTGAGCAAATGAAAAGGATTTAAAACTAGTTTTGTTTCAAATGTAAGATCACAGAAATAAAACCAGGATCTAGGTATTTCTCTTCAGAATGAGATTTCTGTACAAAGCTTGATGCAAAAGGAGTTAAAAACGCTGTTCCTGCCTATGTCTGCCAATGACAACTAGGCTTGTCAGAAGAGCCTTTTCAATGCGAAAGGAAAGGAGTCGCTCTGCTGCTGTATTTCAAATGGGTTGCTCTACACGGTGGCTACTTTCCCCTTGTTTTTGATGGATAGAAAGACACACAGCTGGAAAGAAGAGGTAAGCTACAAAGAAGTAAGGGAAACACAGTTTTAGATGCTCGTGTCATGATATAAGGAGTCAAGAGTAGCCACAGACTGATCAATCTCAGTCAGCAGGTTGACTCTGATGATTGCTTTGGGCCCCAGCTCAAGGCCGCGGTCTCACCCCTTCTCCCTCCATCACTAATCCTTCTTGAGCTAGGCAGAGCTGATGGCCAATCTTACCTTGTTACAATGATATTGTCCAAGGTAGCTGGTCTCCAGATTCCATGAAAAGCTAGCAGAAAAAGAAGGAATAGGAGGAAAACAGCACAGGTAGGAAGCGGTGGAGAAAGATGTAAGGAGAAGAAACATGAAAGCCCGTGTTTCCCATTCGAGTCCCTGGTAACCCAGAGGTGTTGACGTGTGCTTACTCTGCCATGCCAGGAACTGAAGCTCCACAATGTTCTACTTTTAATCCTCCTCTCTTAAGCATCCTCCTTCTAGAGGATCCAGCTCTTCATTATTTCACTCGTTAGTTAGATTTAATTTCTAGTAAATCAATGTTAACTTCTTGATTTCAGGTCCCACCCTTCTCTTGTTTAGTAGACATGACTAAAAGACTATCCTTGAATTGCAATAAAAACCTCCCTTCTTTGGACTGAATCAGTCTGTCTGCACCCTTCCTGACTCCTGCTACCCTTCTCAGTTACAGTCTAACATAACACTGCATGAACTTCCATCTCACAGCTGTGGGTAGATAGGTAGGCCCTCCTGTGATATGCCTTGCGGTACTACAACTTCTCCCACGCACAAAGAAAAACAAACCCTTTGGCATATGGAGGCAGCAGAGAGAACTCTCTAGCTCCTCTCTGGGCTATCCCTTAGCAGCACAGCTTCTGTGGTAGAAAAGTAAACAAAACATGCACTCTGACTTCAGCCATTTAAAACTTATCAATGACCAACACACCGGATATAAAGACTTTTCTGGGTCATTTATTTTTTCTTGAAATCTTGTGCTATTATTTAAGTCACATCTACAAAAACAAACAAACAAGAGACCAGGAAAAGTCTTTAAAGATAGTATTTCAAACAAACGCATCACAAAAAGATATAAGCAAAGAGCAAAATTTTCTATCAGCAATATATGACAGTACGACATGCAAACTAATTATATATTCACACTGGAATTACTTGATATATATAATTGCAAGTGTCACTCATTTTATGCTGAATTTATTACAAAATGAAAAAAAAAATCTTCTACAAAGGATCTACACTTTATCCAGTCACAAAACCTATGTTTGGAGTAACGTCAATAAAAATAATTATTTCAAATTCTCACCAGTGTCACTAAACAGAGTTTAGCCCAAATACTTTTTTTTCCTTTTAATCTATTCAACTGAGAGAAATGGAGCTGCAACAGTTTGGAGTTTTTAATACCAAAGTGGATTATACAAACAACAATTTCATCAAATATTTTTTAAAACGAGCCTAGCATTACTAGTTATATCTTATTCTTAAGGTAAGCATTCTTCAAAGAACTGTATGATTGGAATCTCTTCCTGATACATAGTGACATGCTATTTGCTGGCTGCAGTGGGAAGAGTCAAAATGAAAACAAAAATACAAACACACTTTATTTTCCTCTTGTCTTTATTGATTTAGACTTCAGAGCTACAGCCAAAAATAGTGCATCTGTAGAAAACTACCACACATGCTATCAATACAGCATCATTGCATGTTTAGAATCATAAGCACTTGACAAATTGCAAGGTGAACATTCAATCTAATATTTTGGCAATGCAGCCCATGAATAGGGAATACAGGAAGAAAAGACTTTTTTTTTCCTCCAAAAAGAAATATTTCTGAACAGGAATGAAAAGCCTCTGTTAAAAAATGAATTCCAGTCACCACAGAAAACTCATGCTAGCTTATTCAAGACATCAACATACACTGCTGGAAACTTTGCATGGAATGTCAAATGGTACACAAAAGCTACGACTCTGCTACAGGTACAACGCTGTCTTCAGCACTCTGTATGCCATCAAGATGGTCACTGTATAGCCAACTGCCCAAGACAAACCTCTGCTGGGCTGGGGAAGAGGGATCAAATATGCAAAAGTGTGAACAATCCTAGCCCCAGCGAAGATCCTGAAATGCAGCAAGGCTGTGGACAGTTCAGGGCCACTAAGAGCATACAGTAGTCCAATGCCAAGAAACGGGACAATATTTTCAAGGTCATTCAGGTGGCCTCTGGGGAAAGAAGCAAAGTTGTTTTACAGTGTTACATTTTGTTGAATAAACCACTTCAAGCCTCATAATTTTTCAGCATCTTCAGAGCATGCTACCGTTAAGGCCCTAACACAACTGTTGGCTTCCTCTGCAGTGGGGATTTGATTCAGCTACTGAAATGATTTTGACATTGCTGACATTGCTCTGGTCTCTCTTGCTGCACCCCACATTTTTAAGCTTCTGATCTTCTGTATGAAAGGTCTTAGTTTTTCCCTAGGATCTTGGTAATATTAGGGACTTACATGAGATATATGAGTGCACCTGGGTGTGCAAGAATGCAAGAAAAGGCAGAGAAGAAAGATAGCTAGAATTTTCTTGTAGCCTCTCTCAACTGAACATCAATTAAATGGATGACTGTGACTGCAACTACTAGACTTCATGGCCCAGATGGTCTATTCCAATCCCATAAACTCAGTCTGTAGTCTCCATAAAGAAAATATGAAATATCCTATGTATGAAACATTCTATCAAATGTTCACGAAGCTCAATCATCTTGAAGAATGATATTTTTGAGCATCTAACAGGTGTGACAGTTACGCTTTTGGTTCATTTTCTTCACTACTAAGCACTAAAATAGTCGAAAAATGTTTGAAATTTTGAAACCATAATATAATTTACTAAAAATGTGTTGAGACTGAACTCCAGATCTTGAAGTATTCTTTCACACCTCTTCCTAAACCTTCCCTGCTCCCTTTACCTCTTCAGATAAATTATACTTCCAGCCAGATTTACTGATTGAAACAACCTCTAAGCCTTACTAATTAAGTCAAATTTCACAGCCAACTAGAATCAGAACATGGTGCTGTTTTGCAGCTGCTTTCTGAACTCATTTATCATTACAAGGAAACATATCCTCCAGCTTCCCCCCCCCCCCCCCCCCCCCAAAAAGTACACTGAAGAAAGTAATGTCTTTTCTATACCCATAAACAGAACAAATTCCAGTCACTTACACAGAAGAGAAGCCATGCTAAATCTGTGTGGCATTATCTGTTGCCATGAAGCTTGCAAAAGAAAATATACTAAAGTTCCATTAAGAACCATTGTTGGGAGGAGAAAATGGATGATGCTGCAACACCAATGGAGTAACTAGAACCAACCTGACTTACTAGGTCTGGGGAAGTCTGAACAACTCTGCAAAACAGCAACACAGGATTTGATAATACAGTGTTTTAAAAATCTAATCTGTATAAATGACTCTGACTCTGTGAGGTGGTTGTCATTTCTCCGCGTAACAATGTGAGTTAAAAGGGCATCTGGTCATAAAGTTAGTATCAACTTAGCTGTCCTCTTCGAATTTACAAATAGAAAGGAATTGCTCCTCACCAAAAAGTGCCCATTTTTATATAACCACCAGCAAGTTAAACAACTAACAACTCCCTGAACCACTCAGGGGCTGAAAAGGAAAGTTCAGAGCATCTTTACAGCCCACTGAGAATACACTCTTCTGAGATTTTAATCCAGAAGAGACATACGTAAGTACATTAGCCTTCATGGAACCACAGTCATCTACATTTGGAAGGATGCACTGTTCTGAAATCAGAGCTGATACTTATTTTCAAGATCTTCCCTAATGGTGGTTTAAATGAGAACAGTTCATTCACATTCAAATTTTTGGTATAAAAATATATATAGCAAATAAACTGTTAGTTTCATTAAGAAATAATGATATAGAAAGCATTCCATTAAAGCCTTCCTTGTTAGCACAGGTGTATCAGACAGCATCTTGAAAGTTATGATTTTGGTAAGAGAAAATTTTGCCATCAGCTAAAAAAAATTAAATAAGCTGCAACATTTAGCCCACTGAAATACAGCTTACATTCTGTCACAAGTCTTGCAAAACAAAATACATACAATGCAGGTTGCACACTGCCATACTATTAATAGCATTATTCCAGAAGGCTGGTCAACTTCCCTGTACAATTGACACATTAGTGAGTAACCTTGATTCAATCCAGCAAAAAGAGCACAGGCTTTGACTCCCACTCTGTCCAATTTCCCAGAGTAACACTGTCATTACAGCTCTAGAGTTCCATGACTTTAACATAGTTTTACTTCTATTCTCCCTGTTAGTTCCTTTACACTTTAGGAAAAGATGCAACTATTGCAGCTAGTGTTTAAATTATATAGAAAGTTGATTTACAATTAATGGACGCTGCTTCATACTAAATCAACTTACAGTCATATTTTACAATCTTCTCACCACTTCCCCCATGCATACAGGATACTATCCAAGAGTTAGCTATTATAACCAGACAATGACTTATTAGTTTTAGTATGCATGCTGACCATTTGAATGTGGAATGGTTTGTTCATTTAAACAAATTAATGTATTAGATTACTACATAAAGCAGCACAAAACACACACAGGCTTGCCAAAGAGAATGTGGTGAAATTAATTCCTTGATTTAGTATTATTCTGCTATTTAAAATAATTTTTAAAGACTCCTATGCATTACCTGCGTACACGTTCGACATCTGGATCAGTCCGCAGATTTTTTTTAGCACTCTCACCTTTTCCAAATACTGCTGTATCTTCCGGGTTGACAAATGCCTATTTCAAACATAAACACACAAGAGACATTAGAAGTCATAATGTTTCTTCTAGTCAAGGCAGCTTGCTTAAAGGTCACTCTTTTTAATGCCTCTATAACCTCACATAACTTTCCTGAAGTTAAATGCACAAGGAATAATATATTGTTCACTGCATTACTGTTTTCTTGGGCCTAGCCTGCATGTAGCTTGCATGCTGACAAATTAATGTAATTTATGCATGTAGATAAAGCCTTCTTGTAAGATGGACAAGCACGGCAGATGACCAATACTCAGCCTGAAGTAATGCCAGTGGGCTGAAGGAACAGAGACCTGGAAGGTAGAACTACTGTCTGTACTGCCTAAGTCTCTTTTTCACTATTCTTGACAAATTATCTGAAAGCCCTTTTGGATCCATTCCTTCTTCAGAAGTCTGCACAGCAATAGTATCCAAGAGATTTACTCCCATCCTCATTTATGACCAAATAAGTTTCTCCCTCTCCTCTTAGGTACAAACTTTTCCACTTATATGACCTGTTATTAACTTCAAATACTGTAAGACACTACTTGAAAACAACATTTAATTCAGTGAGTGCAGACTGCAGTAGATACTCCTTGCTGACACACATAGCAACACCTGCATTCTGTGGACCGTTCAGGCTATGCAGGCATAAGTCAAGAAAACCCCTTGATTTTAGGAGAGCTACATGACTGCTTTCTGAGGCACCCTTGATCCCTTTCTGTGAAATATCCTTGGCCTCAAAATTCTGGAGACATGTTATGAGCATTAGCAACATTTTACCTTCTCTTGCTCCACTAACTGCTTTCCTCCATTTTTCTTGGCAATAAAGATTTTTTTAATATTAAATAGGAAATAAAAATCACTTTATTAATTTGTCTGTTTGTAATATTACTGTCATAAGAAAACCAAGTACTCCAAATTAACGAAGGCCCTATTGTCACCTGCACACATATGGATTATAAGACAGTATGAGCACTAATACAGAACTCCACTGGATCTACGTATAGGACCACTACAGCTGATGTGCTTCTGCAAGTGCAAAAGGAAGTAAAGTTACGACACAGACATGCGTGTCCTATTTTGAATGCACAGGACAGGTTGTATGCTCTACTATACTTTGGCTGTGCCAAAGACCTAGAGAGCTATTAGAAACCAGCAGCAGCTCAAACGCTGTGCTATTAGGACCCCAGGAACAACAGAACAGTTCAGCTGGGTTCTCTTGCACCCAGCAGGAACAAAAAGCAGCATTTCAACAAAACAAGCGCAACAAAATCCTTGAAGTACACACTGTCTTGCAGAAGCAGATCTCACAAGAATAGCCACATGGGGCAAACTCAGGGCTCTTTCAGCCCAGGACCAAGTGTTTCCAACAGTGGCCACGAGCAGATACCTAGAGAAGACCAAGAACAGGGTAAACACAACACAATGCTTCCCATGAGCATTCTCTCCTAAGCTAGATGCAGCTTTTGCATTACTTAGTAAACTTCAGTGGATCTTTCATATACTTATCTAGCCTATACATCAATCCACATAAATTTTCAGTTTGCTTCTCATTCTAGAAAAAAAAAAATCAGGTTTTTTTTTAGATAATGACCTACGTGCAATGGGAAGGCTAAAACAATTAGGGAATGTAAAGAGCTTTAGAATTACTGGATGAAAGGGTTATAGATGCATAAAAATCCACTTCATACCCCCGCTTTGACTCTACTAGATGGTTATTCATGTACATGGCTCCGTATCACACTTTATTTGCTTTATAAATTGGGTACCCTGGACACTAGCTTTCTGTAGAAGACAGTGGAAATTACAGTTATGAAAAACTCTTATTTAAAAATAACAGAAGTTATTTAGAAGGGTAGACTAAGTCAAATGCAACTCTAAGATACAGTCTCATAATTATCTCATAATTAGGTTAAAGACATCGTCCATTTGAGACCAAAAGAGGACCAGCACACCAAACTCAGAATGTTATTAAAGGAGGGAGGAGGAAGAAAAAAAAGCAGCACCAGTATTTGAAAGCTGAAAAGAAAACAAACAACTGTGATATCTCTGTATTTCAATTAAAAATTCAATCTATTCTACCAGACAGTATTCCCAATTTCTTACCTTTCTTGTGATTCTGAAGTATGCTGTTATAAGACTCATTAGCATCATTTTTAGAAGAACAATAACTGCATAGGTAGCATAAGCCCGGAAGACTTCATTGTCAATTAACTGGGTCAATTTAGCCATTTCCGCACTTCTCACTGACGACCTTTAAAAAACATTAAGGTTAGGCTAAAATCATAGCAATCCAAAGTTCTAACAACAAGATTGTCAGAATAGCCTTTTTTTTTTGAGCATCACTGCAATGACAGCACAATTTCGCCACTGTGAAATGTTTATTTTCAAGCAAACTTATTCTTCCTCAGTTTATTGTCACAATGGCGTAATATAATACTTTAAGATGAGAAATACAATACTTTAAGATGAGAAACTATATTATCATTTAATATTTCACTTCCATTATATCTGCTTATTAAACTGTCAAATATAAACCACCAAAATATTTAATGTAATGGCAGAAACAAAATTTAGTCACAGAAATCAGTACACTTTTGAAATAACATGTGGAGTTAGAGCAATTTTAGACCAATTCATTTGAACTAGTGAATTTCCCTGAGCAGTTACCAGGATAGAAAGAGTGTGATGACATACTATTCATACTGTAGTGTTTAAAGAGTAAAATTAGTATTGCCTGCCTTTTTTTTTTTTTGTAAAATGACACAATTATAATTGCACTTCAGCTTTCAAACTAACCAGTATCATCCCACCTAGCAATAACCTGTGATCAAACTGAGTTAAACATGTATTTTTCTCCTTTGAGACCTCGTTCTTAAAAATGGCTTTTAGCATGATTCACGGTCAAAGATTAAGTTATAATGACAAAAAGCAGAGAACTATTTATGCTTTTATCATGGGAGATTTAAGCTAATGAAGTCTCTTTCCAATGAGACCATACCAAACCCACAATCCTACGGAGGCGGTGCCTTTTACCAACACCATAAAGTTAAGAATGTGATGAGGACTGAATGCACGTAAAACAAAAAGCATGTCCCCTTGCACATTCGGTTTGTGCTCTGCATGGAGCATGGCTTTTGCCTCAGCAAGTGCTCCAATCATGCACTTAAGAGAGTAGGAATCCATAAAACTAGTATGTCTTAGCTTCACTCGAGACCAAAATAAATGCACTTTTTGTTACAGTTAACTTCATTATTTCCAACAATATAATTTTAACAATAGTAATAAAAAGCTAATAATAATATTAACTGGATTACAGCTCTAGCAATCTCTCATCTTGCTTTCAGCATGGAGTCACTGCCAGCTATAGCCAAACAATGGAAATCAGATGAGCTCCGAGAGCAGAAGACGACTCTCGCTCTGAAGGCACATGCTTGGTGGGGAGGTGGGCAGGATGGAGGTAAGCAGCTGTCTGCTCACTGAAACAAATCTAGCCTTGCCTGGACCTGTTTGGCTGTGGTGATGGGATTTTGCTCCCTCTTTCATCCTTTCTAAAACAGTGCTTGGGTCACCGGGCCAAGCACTGGGTCTAGGGACCATGTGAAATTCAGTATAACTCTTCCTCCTCTAACATTACAGTACAGCAGTGCCCGAGATAATCGGCAATTTGGCAAGGATTTTTCTCAGCAAGGAGCAGAAACTGCAATTTTGAACTCTGTATCACAGCAGAAAGCGTGCATAGTTTCACACAACAGAAGTCAAGTAAATCCACGGCGTCAGGGCATTTTTCCCTGCTGGATTTTAAAGCTATGCCGAAAACACATCCAAGCACTACGCAGAGTCATGAGAAACTGTTCACCAGCATCTCTATGTGTTCTTCCCACTGGAACTACACCACATTTACCCATTTTCCCTACTTGTAGAGTTGGCCTCTCCAAACGCTCACAAAGCCCAGGCCTTGCCTTCACGACGAGAAGGAAGTATACTGAAGAATTCGTAGTTTTAACACCAGCAGAAATGCAAAAATAAACCCCGAATCCTAAAACAGCACAGGGCTTAAAGGGATATGCTTAGGAACACTACAAACAGCCTGATCTGCAAAGGCAGCACAATACCTCTCCGCGGTGCGAATGCACAGCCTGGGCCTGGTTAAGCGCACAGGTCTAGATCCCACGCAACGGGTCTTAAGAGCCGGTGGGCAAAGGCACGTCAGCTGCTGTGCCCCCGGCGGGAGGGCAACTACGCTACCGTTCCCCTCACGCGTGACCGTGTCCCAGTGCCGGCGGGCTGCGCGGCCGTGACCAGCGCCCCGAGCCCTGGGACGGCCTTT